CCGCCCCTTGGAGAGCTCGGGACGGCGGGGAGCTCTTCGTCGGGTGTTGTCCATGACCTGCTGGAGTTGATGGGATCGGGCCGGGAGCGAGGCAGGAGCGCGTAGGGTGTCCTTGCTGACTCTGTGACGCGCTGGAGCCGCCGGTGACCGCGGCCTCCTGCCCGCGACCGCCCCGTGCGCTTCGGTCCAGTTACCGTCAGTAAAATAAATGGACTCCTCCTCGGCTTCCCGCTGCCCGCCGGTAAACAACCGGCTTTGCTGGCTTTTGGGAGTGATGAGGGCCTGGCACAGGGTGTCCAGAGAAGCTGTGGCCGCCCCTGGATCCTTGGTAGTGTCCAAAGCCAGGATGGACTTTGGGGCTCGGAGCAACCCGGGATAGTGGAAGGAGTCCCCGATCATGGCAGGGGGTGGAACTGGATGGGCTTTAAGGTCCCTTCCCACCCAAACCATTCCGTGATTATTTTGTGGTTCATTCAGGCCAGGTGAGATGCAGAAAATAAAAGTTACTACTTTACATTTCTCCTGCCTGTTGTTGAAATGTGGAAGGGTTCGGTCCCGAGACCACAGGAGGAACAAAACCCAACAGCATCAACACAAATTTCAGCCCCTGCTTACAGAATTCGGATGGTAACATTGTAAAACCTTAATAAAAATATAGAAGCATTTCATTTAAAAATCCCCTATAAAAGCTATTGGTAAGGCATTGTTTATTCATTAGGCATTATTATAATAAAATATAAAAGCTGGTAACTACTGGAGAACTTGTCTGGTGTTTACAGCCTAAGTGCTCTTTTTGGTACAGCTCAACGTAATAGTTATACATAAACATCGAAATATAGTATTTACATATATTAACATATATAATGAACATTAGAATAATTTATCGGTGTAAATAGTCAGCTGCAGTAATTATTTCAGCCACTTCTGAGACAACGACTCCTCTCTTACCCGATCACCTCTTCTACTTCTTCACGGGCTTTCTAAATTTACTGCCAACACTGACTGGAGCACTAACGCAGCACGATGAAGATAACGCGCATGGGGAATATCGGCGATTCCTGCAGTGATTTAAACTTGCGGCGATTCCAGATCGTTTTGTCAGGCTTCGGGCACCGCTCACCCGGCAGCCGGCGGAGCGCTTTGAGCGGCGCACCCGGAAGTGGCGGAGCGCTTTGAGTGGCGCACCCGGAAGTGGCGGGAGGTTCGGGTCAAGCATCGTCGTGATGGCGGCGGCGCCGCTGCGCGTGTGAGTGGGACGGGACGGGACGGGAAGCGGGATGGGGGAAGGGCCTGCTGAGGTTGCGGCGGGGCTGGGGCCGGACCAGACCGGACCGTGCTGTGCCGGCCGCTCTGACCGTGCGGTGTCCCGCAGGCTGGCGTGTGGCGACGTGGAGGGGCGGCTGGAGGCGATCTTCGGGCGGGTCCGCGCCATCCAGGCCAAGAGCGGCCGCTTCGACGTAAGGCTTGTGGGGCTTGTGGGGGGAGGTGGACGTGGTGCCCTTCCCGCGGGGTTCCCATTCCCGTCCCCAGACGGCCGAGGTGGGGTTCCTGTGCGGGAGATGTGCCGGCGGTGCTCGGCGGGTGTAAGGAATATCTTCACTTCAGTAAACTAAATGCTGCTGAAGTGGTGCAAGCAAAGCCCTCGTGTGTGTTTTGTGAAATGGCAACCCCCGCTTTATCCGGTGTTTTTAGATGCTTCTGTGTGTCGGGAATTTCTTTGGCTCTGCTTCCGAGGCAGAATGGGCCGAGTACCGCTCAGGGGCCAAGAAAGGTAAGGAAGGAGGGTGGCACCACTTCACAGCCCACCTTGGAATTCAGGAGCCACGGCTGGGCACTGTGGAGTTAAAGCAGTTACACTCCAGCAGGGAAGCCCCACACAGGAGGGAAAGATGGATTGGTTTGGAACACCCTTGTCTTTAGGGCTGTGCATCATTTTGGGGCTAATCTTACACAGTTAGGGGAGGGCGATGTGGGTGGAGCAGAGGTTGTTCCCCACCTGCAGCTCTGGGATCACCAGGCTGGGGACTCACTCTGCAGGAAGGTTTCTTGTCCTGTGCTTGTTGCTCCCAAGGTGTGGTGGAGGGTCTGACTGGGATGGGATTTCCTGCTGTGATTCCTGGGCAATGTGGGCTGGTGCACTGGAATTAAAGCTCAGTGAGTACATGAGGTTTTCTCCCACAGCTCCAATCCCAACCTACGTGCTTGGTGCTAACAACCAGGACACCCTGAGCTATTTCCCGGATGTCAGCGGCTGTGAGTTAGCCGAGAACATCACTTACCTGGGTAAGGCTGCAGGGGATTTGGAGTCAGGGAGCTGCTTTTGCCTGCTGGGGCTTTCATGAACATTCTCTCATCTCCCACCTTTCTTTTTCTGGGAGTTGTAAGCGGCATTTTTTTATCCAGTGGTTCAGACTGGAGTTGAATTTGATGTCGGTACAATCTGTGTAAAGTGTGAAAGAAAACCTTGCTTTTGTGATTTGTTTGGGTTTTTTTTTCATTTCTCTGATACTGAACTTGCTAACCAGAAGGAATAGTGGTTACAAGAGGCTGTTCCTTGAGGGAATCTTACTCCCAGAGCATTCCTGTCTCTGTAGGAGAATGTTTCGATATGATTTTGCTGTGTGGCTGTTCTGGAGTAGCAGAGGTAACAAGCGAAATGCAGCAAAGCTAAAAGGAAAAACCAGGTTCTCTCCAGAATTGCCTCCAGGCCAAAAATATAACAAAGTAGAGGCACTTGGCTCTTTTTGCTGAGACTTCATATTGCTGTGGATGAGTTTTTGGGAAACAAGGTGTCAGGGAGGAGGGGGAAGACTGGGGCTTGTTTGAATAGCTCCGTTGTGGGCAGGGTTGGGTTTGAGCTGTGCCACCGAGCGATGCCATTACTCTGGGCACAGAAAATGACTGCCTGTGAGGACAGCTGCAGCGGCAACAAGTCTGTCCCAGGGGATTCCCTGCCCTGCCTGCAGCTCAGGGCTGTGTGTGTGTTGCTGCAGGCCGCAGGGGCGTGTACAGCGGCTGCTCGGGGCTGCAGATCGCGTACCTGAGCGGCACCGAGGCGCAGCAGCAGCCGGCGCCCGCCCACAGCTTCAGCACCAAGGACGTGGCTGAGCTGAAAACGTCTCTGCTGTCAACCCCAAACTTCAGGGGTGTGGATATCTTGCTGACATCCCCCTGGCCCAGAGAGGTGGGGACTTTCGCCAACAGCACGGTGAGTGTTCAGTTCCGGGGGATTTCACAAAGGGTTGCCTTTCTCCTTCCTTTGGCAGTTCACCCTCTCTGAGTGCTTGACAAAGCTGGCAGGGAAAGCAGATGCTCTGGTTCTTCTCAGAGAAGGAAGGACTGAAGGGAGGGGTATTTGTGAGACTTCAGGGCATTTTATCTGTGCCTGGTGCTTTTTGAGTGTTTTGGTGTTTATTTCCTTAAGCACCAGCCAGGTGGTCTGGTTCTTCCTCAGTCTGGATTTTGAGGGAGTTGTTTCATTTGTGTCCAGTTTTGTTGTGTTGATGTTCCTCAGCAGAAGAGATTTTCAGATGATTTGAAATCTGTCTGGACAGCAAGGCCACACACATGTGGCAAAAGAACTTTTTTTGCTTCCTCTCAGTTTCTTCCAACATCCAAAAAGAGATACAATCCTCAGTTTAAATGCATGAGGAACCTTCCCTCACATCATAATAACCAACCCTGCTGCCCTTGGAGGTTGTAGAGAAACAATTTGGGATTGTTGGGATGTTCTGGCATAAAAAGAAAACTCAGATCTCAGAAATTCCCTTGGCCATTCTCTGTAGTTGTTTAATATGTGATTCTATGTTTGACTTCCCTTGGCATGAATTTTCTGGAAGTGTGCTCACTTGGGGTTACAGAGAAGTATATTAAACCTTTCTTTTCCCTGCTCTTTGAGAGGTGTGAATAAAGCTTGGTTTGTATTTTGTAGGGAGAAATAGATACCAAGAAGTGTGGCTCAAAGTTAGTATCAGATCTAGCTGCAAGTCTCAAACCAAGGTACCATTTTGCTGCCCTGGAGAAGGCCTATTACGAAAGACTTCCTTACAGGTTTGTAAAATCATGTGAAATCTCACTTCTTTTCAAGTAGGGGTTCAGTTTTTAAGGAACACAGGAGGATTGATGTGCTGTCTGTGTATCTTCATGGCAGACAAGAGTTCTCCCACTGTCCTTTCAGTACTTTATGTGCCAGTACAGCCAAGTTTTGCTTCCTTACAGGAATCACGTGGTGCTACAGGAGACCCCACAGCACGTGACCAGGTTCATTGCACTTGCTGATGTTGGCAATACAAGCAAGAAAAAGGTACTGAACACTCTTGAATCTTTTTCTTTTCTCAAGTACAATAAAAGGGCAGTGAGACCAGTTAGATGACAACATCAGGCACTTAAAAGCTTGGCTGGAGTGGAGGGATCTGTCTCACTTGAGTAAGAGGTACCACTTGTCTTTTTTGTGACATTGTGTTCTGAGGCACAAACCACTAAAAATAACAAACTTCTGCCATGAGGTTTTTAACCCATTTCTCTTCTCTCCTTAAGAAAGTTACAGAATATTGGTTGGTAGTTAAGGGATGCACAGGATCCAGGCCTGGTAACAAAAAAAGGCCAGAAAGAAGGCCTGTAAACAGGCAGGGATCAAGGATGCACTCCATGAACTCCTGTGTGGGACACTGCCACAGGAGGTGTTTCTCCATGCCCTGCCTTGGCACAAACACTGATGTGCTGAGCAGTGTGGAGCTGTTCTGGGGTATCTTAGTTCATAAGTGATCTCCTCAGAGGTGCAGCCATGGCAGGAGCTGCTTGCCCCTGAGCCCCTGTGTTTGTTGCAGTACCTCTATGCCTTCAGCATCGTGCCCATGAGCTCAATGGACCCCGCAGAGCTGGTGAAGCAGCCTCAGGATGTCACTGAAAATCCCTACCGGAAACTGAGGAAGGAGACTCCCAAGAGCAAAGCCCCGCTCTCTGCTGAGGTACCACCCTGTGCTCCTCCACATTCCTGGCTCACTCTCTGTGCTCACAACACTGCTTGGCTTTCCCTTTGGGATATCTCTAAAACTCTGCTGTGGAGACAGGCTGGGAGAGCTGGGGGTGTTCAGCCTGGAGAAGAGAAGGCTCCAGGGAGATCTTATTATGGCCTTCCACTTCTTAAAGGAGGACTGTAAGAAAGATGGGGACAGAGTTTTCTCCCCTTCAGCATTAAAGCCTTCTAATGGCATTTGGCTGTATGGAGTAACTCAGTCAAATGTTTTTAACCTCTGTTGAGTCTGTGACAGGTTAACATCTCTAAGAAATAAAGCCATTCTTTAGGCATTGGCTGTTAAATGAAAATATTTGAATAATCCATAATAAAATCAGGCAATTCTGAATGTTCAGCATAAGGCTGAATAGGAGAGCATAATGATTTGGGGCAGCTCTCCCAGAAGTTTTTCCCTGACTGAAGCAGGCAAAGTCTGCTGCACTACTAGGAAAACAGGTAATTCTGTTCCAGGATATTCAGAAGGAATTTCTTCCTGGGAAGGGAGCTCAGGCCTTGGCAGGGGCTGCCCAGGGAGCTTTGGAGTCCCCATGCCTGGAGGTGTCCAGGGAAGGGCTGGACATGGCACTCAGTGCTCTGGGCTGGGGACAAGGTGGGGATGAGGCACAGCTTGGACTGCATGGGCTGGGAGGGATTTTCCAGCCTCAGAGATTCTGTGATATTGGTGCTTTTCAAAAGTGGTTCGCAGCTCTTCAGGAAAAACTTAAATATCCTGTCACTTTCCGTGGTACATTTCTAACTGAACATCCTGTTCACTTTTCATTTCCTAAACAGGAAGAACCAGCTTGTCAGTTTTTCTTTGACTTGAACAAGCATCAGGGAAAGAAACGTCCCTCAGAGGGGAAAGAGAGAGGGGACTCACAACCTAAGCAAGCCAAGAAACCTCGTAAGTGTGAAGATGCTTTTTTCCTGAGCTCTTCCCTCGAGGCATTGGATGGACCACATCACTCCAAGCTGTTTGTCAAGCTGTTGAGCTGTAGGTGTCATCTAGCCAGAGAGCTGTCACTGCCAGCTGCTGGGGCAATGCAGGAGGATCAAGGGTCCCTTGTTTCCAAGGGAAGATAGGCTTCAGTAGGTGAAAGAAGGGTCAAGAGCATAGTTCCAAAGCCCTTTGGGTCTGTGGTTGTGGTTGGGCTGATGGCATTTACCCTCTGAACCCGACATGGCACTTCCAAAAGGCTCAGCTCAGGTATCACAGTTTGGGTGTGAATCCAGGTGTTTTGGGTGTGAATCCAGGTGTTTTGGGTGTGATGGATAGGCCAGAACTGACAAGTGTGTTTGACAGCATCTGCCCCTATCTTTATTTGTGCAGTAATTTTACCTCATTATATTTGTTTGCTTAAATTTGCTGGTGTTTTCTTACTAGTGAGCTGCAGCTACTAACTCCTGGAACTACTAAACTCCTCCTTCATTAGGTTAGGGCATTCCAGGAGAATGGCAGTGAGCAGGGTGTGACTGCCACCACCTCCTCTCTTGCTGGAGTTTCCCTGGCCAGAGCTGCGTCTCTCTGACACCTTCAGCACTTTATAAACTGGGAAGGGTGGCTGGAAAATTCCAGGTGATCTGTCTTCTGACAAATATCCCTTCTGCTAATCCTTGTTTTCTTTCCCAACAAAGCTCAGCCCACAGGGCCCTGCTGGTTCTGCCTGGCCAGCCCAGAGGTGGAGAAGCACTTGGTTGTCAGTATTGGCACACATGTAAGTACCAGCAGTTTGGGCTTTGCTAGGTCAGAATCACACTAAGACATGGCAAAACAAAATGCCAATCTCCAATTTTAAATTTAAAACAAATGAACTTTATTTGCAGCTGGCTTTTAGGTTTGCTTTCAGTTTCTTTGCATCTCTTCTACAAACACATAAGCTCTTAAAAAGTGAAGCATGGCCCAGTTTTGCTCCAGCAGCAGAGCTGGATTCCAGTGCCAGAACACTTTTTGCTGTGCCAGCCCTCTGTAACCATCTGGCAAAACTTTTCCAGCTGGAAACCTGCTTTGGCTGCAGGATGCACCAGTGCCAGAACTCTGTGAGGTGGCTGGTTACAGTTTTGTTCCATAGAGATAAAAAAGAGGGTATCTCCAAGATGTACTTCAAGATGTTGACTTTGAAGCTCAGTCCATCATTTTTTAATGCACTTTGCTTAAAGATACTGCTCCTTTATAGCATAATCCACTTAGAGGGACAGGTTTGTCCACAGGCTTAGTTTAAATTTTTAGGTGGATTTTTGTGTCAGAATAAGAAATTCCTGCCTCAGTAGGTGAAGTTCACTCAGCAGCTGCCCTGCAGACAAGGCATTCTCTGGCATTTAAAAGATACTATATTGTTTGTCCTTTGGCAGTCCCTTCATCTCTTTCTCATTCCTCTCGTGATTAAGAAATTCAGTATAAAAATAAATTCAAGTAAAATGGCTAATAAACAATCCCTGATAAGCAACACAGAAGACTCTCCTGTTCCTGAGGCTGAGGGCTACTCACAATGAGTAGTCAGAGAGTAAATTCCTACAGCTCAGTGAGTAACTGGTGTGTGTTGTTTCGCTCTAGTGCTACCTTGCCCTGGCCAAAGGGGGTTTGTCACCTGACCACGTCCTGATTTTGCCAATTGGGCACTATCAATCAGTGGTGGACTTGTCTTCAGAGGTGCTGGAAGAAGTGACCAAGTACAAGGCTGCCCTAAAGGAATTTTTCAGAAGCAAGGGAAAGAGATATGTCCTATTTGAAAGAAACTATAGGAGTCAGCATCTGCAGCTACAGGTATGGTTTGGGTGTTGCCCAGGGAAAACATAAACTTACACTGAATATAAACTCCAAATGTATTGAAAGGGTCATTTTGGGGTTTATCACGGTGGTTGCTGTGTGTGGCAGGTCTGTAAGCGTATCAGAGCTGCAGCAGAACTACCACAGAGATGAGAAAGGAGCAGGCTGTGCTGAGAACTTTCAAGCTTTGAGTTTTCAGCTCTCTGTCCTGCTCCTACAGGAAAAAAAGTCTCATAAGTTTAAGCCTGTAGAGATGGGTGTTCACCTGTCTTGTGTGATGAGGCTGAGCTGTACTGAGGAGCCCACGAGCTCCAGTGATGGAGTGATGACTTTCTGCAAATGCATTGTCTTCTTTTATGGAAATGTCCTCCCTCTCCAGGTGATTCCTGTCCCGCTGGACCTCTGTACTTCTGAAGACATCAAGGAGGCTTTTATTGCACAGGCACAGGAACAGCAGATTGAGCTGTTAGAAATCCCAGAGCACTCGGATATCGCACAAGTATGGGGCCAGATTTCACCTCTTCCCCTCTGTCCTGCCCAAGCTGCTGTTCCCCTCAGGTCACTCTGTGGGGTTGGGGTTAAGCTGTTGGAGGCAGAACCTCATGGACTTGATTTGGGGATGTGCCAGAGGTGTTCTGCTCTGGGATAAGTTCCCATGAACAACAGATGATTTTTCAGCTGAGAAATGTGAGCGTGGCCTCGTCCTCCAAAAATGTGCTGTACTAGGCCGGGGTGACCTAGATGAGGTTAGGAATGATCAGAGCTGGCTGCTTCTCTTGTTCAGTCACTCAGGGCAGAATTAAACCACAGAGTATCAGAGGTGATCCCAGCAGAAAGTGACCCACTGCTCCTTCCTCCCATGGAAGGTATTGTTTGATGTCAGGCACTGACCTCAGGCAGCTTGTGGAGTTATTTTTCCAAGTTTCCTCCCAGGAAAGAGGACCATGGCATGGGGACAGCTGGGTCCCCAGCCCCTGAACTGGCTGGGAGGAGAGTGTGCCTGTCACCTGGTGGCTCTTCTCAGAGCCTCTCTTCCCAGGAAGGGTGATTAGGCATTTGAGGGGCTGCCCAGGGAGGTGGTGGGGGTGTTTAGGGTACAGACGGGACGTGTGCCATGTCTAGTTAACAAGGCGGTGGTCACAGGTGATGCTGTGGGAGGTGTTTTCCAGCCGAACTGATTGTGTGTTTCCGCGATTCCCGACGCGCAGGTGGCCCAGCCGGGGGTGCCGTATTTCTACGTGGAGCTGGACACGGGGGAGAAGCTGTTCCACCGCATCCGCGGCCGCTTCCCGCTG